AGCAAAGTTCCATAAGACGAAAACAAAAAATTCTGGAGAAGATGGGAATATATTGGACCTCAAATATTATCTGGGGGATTATATTATTATGGCAAATAATTCTTAAAAATTTGGAAAGAGAAATATCATTTGGCCCAACATCTCTCTTCTAGGTAGAGATCCTGAAGAAATAAGGGCTGGGACAACAACAGATAAATGCACACCCATCCTCCAGAGAGCATTATTTGCAAACAGCTAAGAACTGGAGACAATCTATGCACCCATCACCAGAGGAATGAATAAATGCCATAGTTTTATGATACATACACATAACGAAAAAAATCTATGATGTTAAAGGAAAAGAAATTAATGAAACTCCTCCCTCTGCATTGAGTGAAGTAAGTCTGTCACAGAAGAACAAATATATGAATCCACTATTACGGAAAACTAGAAAAAGTCTAAACAAAGAAACATTCTTCTATGGTAGAAATGATCCATGTATACAGCACAGCCAACAGGTGGCTAAGGCTTGTAAACTTCTTAATCATAATCAATCCCCTTGAAGGAAAGAGATGCTAGTCCTAGGGACTCAGAATTGTGCAAAGTGAAACTGGTCGATAAAGAAGTTGTTGTTGAGTATCATCAAGTAGGAATCAACCTATAGCTGACCCTCCAGCAGATTTTCAGAGGCAATAAAGCAAATTACACCGGAGGAGATTGCTCGGAGCTGAAGGTGGATTCAAACCATGTTCTTTTGTGTTGCCAGCTTGATTCCTTACCACTGAGCCATGACAGCTCCTTCAGAAAACAAGAGTCCTACCTACTTTGGGCAAATTCTCAAACCTCCTACCCACAGTGGGTAAATAAGTTATGAAAGAATATATAATTCTATGCATAGGGACAAAATATATGTATAATAAAGTCACTGCAATATGGGAAATAAATGCACACATTGTGAAGATTTAGATTTTTATCATTTAAATCAGGATGCAAAGAACTAAAAATGAAAATAAGAATCCAGGCAATGTCTGGGTTATAAATGAGATCTGTTTGTTCACATTCAACTTATTGCCATTGAGTCAGAACTGACTCGTATCTGACCTTCCACTGGAATTAGGCTTTAAATCACACAGGAGGAGACTGCCCATCTTTTTCTCTCAGAGCCACTGGTGGATTCCAACTGGCAGAGAGGCAGGACGCTTGGGGTAGCAGCACGACAGCTTACAGACTGTGCCACTAGGGTTCCAAGTCTGCTCCTGGGTGTTTCCTTAAACCAAATTCCTAAGTCAAGTCATGACCGCTGACTTGCAGCCTTCCTTGGCGGCAAGAAAAAAAATGCAACAGTCTTGACAAATGATTCAAAAGATGCACGTGTGACAAGTGAGAGAGACTGGGACAAAGGATAGAGTAGGAATTGGCCTAATAATTTTCAAGTCAGGAAAAATTCCCCACTCAATTGCAGTGAATCTCTTCTATTTTTTAATTTTCTTTTATTAATTTTAATGAACATATACAGAAATTTTGGATTTCCATTCATTCATTGTTGCAGTGAATCTTTTATATACCAATTGTATGCTTGAGAATTTATGTGAAAACATTCTGCTAGATGTGCAAAAAGGATTAACTATGCTAATTTTCACCTCCAACTGGATAAAAAGGGAAATTTTTAAAATCACATTCTGAAGTGTTCCACAAAAAAAAAAAAAAAAAATAAAATACAGAAGATCGCAAGAAACGGCACTACAATCCCGAAGGCAAGCAGTTCAAATCCTCCAGCTGCTCTGCAGGAGACAGATGGGCAATCTCCTCCTGTGCAATTAACTGCCTCTGAAAACCCCTGGAGGGTCAGCTATGGGTCGGTGCCAGTGGTCCTCAACCACAACAAGAGCATAGGAATAGACTTAGTGATCCAAAAAACCTAAGGTCATCTTTAGGAAGTAAAGGAGTTGTGGTGTTATGGTGCTCTCTGTGTTGGGCGGCTAACAGTAAAGGCAGCAGTCTGAGTCCTCAGCTGCTCCACAGGAGACAGATGGGCAGTGTCCTCTCCTAAGGAGTTCCACCCTGGGAAACCTCATCAAAGTCAGGAATAGCTGGAACAGGCTCCAAGGCAGTGTGGGCGGGTTTCCTTGGTTTTACTATAGAATTTAAAGAATTAAAATTGACTTGAAAAACATGGAGCTGAATGTACAGAAACAAAAATATCTAAGAGAAGTGTTAAGGAGGAAAAGGATACAATAGAACATAATTTACATTGTGACATATTTTATGGAAATAAAATGCAAGTTCTCCTTTTTGTTTTCACTCCTCTGTATTACCAACTTTACCCTGCTTGGCTTCCATGACTTTTCTATAAAGACTGGGGATTTTTTAAAGGTAATATTCAAATTAGGTTAAGTACAACAACCCAGATTCCAAAATGTGAGATAACAGCTCAGGAGATAAAAGTTACGGCTACTCTTTCAAAAGGAAAATAGAAAATAGTAAAAAGAAAATCTAATTTGATAATTGCTCTTACTGGTTGTAAACTTTAAGCCCACTAATAAAAATATGTTTTTATATGAATGTGTGTATATGTATATATATATGTGTGTACGTATATAGATGTATGTGTATATTATGTGTATATATACATATGTGTGTGTGTGTGTATATATATATATAGTAGTGCTTGACTCGAAGGCAATCAACAACAAATATATATACATATATATACGTGTGTGAATATATGTATGTGTGTGTGTATATATATACACATATATATACGTGTGTAAATATATGTATGTGTGTGTATATATATATATATATATATATATATATATATATATTGTGAATAGGAGCTCAGCTATAAAGTCAACTCTGTTAAGAGTTAAATGTACTCACAACAAGCTTATAGGACAATGTCGAAGCTACCTGTGGGTTCCATGGCTTTTATCTTTACTGCACACTGCCATGTCTTCCTCCTACGAAACAGCCAGTAGGTTCGAACTGCTGACATTTACTTTGAGTTCACAGCTCAACATTCAACCACTGCATCACCCAAGCTGCTGGTGATCAGGACCCAAGAATCCAATATTGTCAAATAAAACACACACCAACGCCTCAGCTGGATACCTGACGTGACTCTTTTTCTTTCCCCACAAATCCATGCTGCCCTCTTCTGGATAGTGTCAGAGCAGATTGAGTGTATGTGACAGTAAAAACATAAGAGAGAATAAAAGACAGTATTCATTCATTTAACTTAAAGAACTCAGTCTATATGCTTACACTCAGAAATACATAGTTAAATAATTTCACCATTATAATTATTTTATCAATTATCAAATTATCAATTATAAAAAAAATCAAACCTGTAAAATATATTTTAAAATATGTACCAAATTTTCTGCTGTATATAAAGTGCTAGCAACAGCAAGAGATCTGATAATCCACTCATCCATACGTATAAGAAACACAAATGAGAAACAGACACTTAAAATAAGTGAAACACTGCACCTCAGGTTCTGCCTTTCTCTTCCACACTCATGCCTTTCCAGAAGCAAATGACAAGCTGAATTTAGTATGGTTTTTTCCAGTTCCATTTTAATACTTTTACTACCTATAAATGTACTCATGATTACATAATACGGTTTTGTGCATCATATTAAATCGCACAATACACGTTCAAACATACACAGTTGTATTCTCAGTCACAGACTCTACACAAACTCCTTCAGCAATTGAAAATTAACTGACAAAACGTGGGTTGCTCCCTGAAGAAATATCTACTATTTATGTATAATAGATTATATATGATATAATAGATTATATAATATAGAATTAGAGTAGAATAAAACAGAACAGAATAGAAATGTGTACGAAAAATATTCTGCTAGGCCAATAGCACTTCTTAAAATTTTGCAATTTTCACTGCTATCAACCAAGTTAATTTTATAAAGGGAAATTTAGGTGAAGGGAACTTTTTAGTGTTTTACCCTGTCACCTTGGTCTCTGCACTGACATCTTTGCCGTTTAACACTTTGACAAAGTCCCTGACAGCAGCTTTGCCCAATGCAACACGCCTTTTGATTTACTGAGGGCTACTTCCATGGGAGCTTGGAAGGAGGAGTGGCATCCACTTCCATAATAGCTTGCCTCCGGAAACCCTATGAACGTGGAGAAAGGAGGAAAGGCACCCAAGCGTCGAGGACTCTCCTTCAAAGGGTCACTATGAGTTGCCTGCAACTCGAAAGCACTTAACAACAACTTCCATAGGTGTTGATTGCAGATCCAAATAAAAGGAAATCTTTGACAACTTCAATCTTTTCTACCCATTCTGTTTGCCCTGACTATATATATAATTTTGCCCTGCCATCACCCTCCAAAGTATTTTGTTAGTATCTCTAATTTGTCATTTATATTCTGTCTTGCAAAAGAGTAACTTAAATATTTGCCTTATCTTTCTTCTAAAATGTAAGCTTACACTCCTTGCAACACTTAAAACGTATCACCTGGTAGATGTAGGGATCCCCTCTTCCCCCACAATTGGAACTTTGTGAATTTTCACGGCTCCATGGGCACGGCATGATCCAGTCACTTGGTTATTTTCTATTCTAGGAGCTATCCGAAGGAAACCCACCATCAGATTTCCAAAGCTCTTAATCACAGCAGGAGGAGACTTCCCATCTTTGTCTCTCAGAGCACCTGGTGGACTTGAACTGCCAGAGATGCAGTCTTTCAGTTAGCTGGGCAAAGCTTTACGGCTATGCCACCAGAGCCCCTCCGCCCTCATGAGTACCTCCCTTTAGTACCTCTGTAGTAGGTACCAGAAGTGGGGGGGAATCTCCATCTTCTACTATTATGTGACCAAAGTAACTGATCACAATTTTGCTTAAATATATGTTGTTATGAATATAGTTTTTAAACAGAAAGGGTTTTGTTACCTCCTGACATATTTTCTTTGTTAGTCTAGACTCCATTTACATGCCTCACAGCAATATCGCTCAGCTCCCACAGTGAGAAACCATCTATTGTCATCAACTTACACTACAGTTTTCAGGCGGAACTAGAAGTTGAGTAATCTCGCCACCATGCACACAGAAGATATGCTTCATTTCTCCAGAAAATATGTCCCAAATGATGACAGAGAAGTCCACGCCACCAGAGATGAGGTATCTTTGATCGTAACGTGCGGAGACCTGATGAGGATATAGCAAACATGTGACTTTGTTCCGATGACCTCGGAGTGTCCTGTGAGGTGGCCAACCTGTGAATGAGGTTTTGGTTTTAAAATGGGAAAATCAAAGTCTTACAAAGATCTAACAAGTAAAAATAAACATCAATTGTCAGAATAATTACACATCATTGTATCTCATAAAAGGTGTAAAAATTTTCTAGAACGACCCTAAAGAGAACGGTGTTCACTAGGCACCTGAGATTATTAAGCAATTAAAAGGTGGTTAGCTCAGAGTCACATGTGCTTTAAATGTAAAATATATATGACATTTCTACATCTGAAAAAAAAATACCTTGAGATTTTTTTTTTAACATTTATGGTAAAAGCTGAATTAGACATTATAATAAATTAATTCATCAAGTTAAAAACTATTTTAAAATAAGCAAATAAAAAACAAGTTATAGTAATAGCTTTTCTATATTGTGTTAAATCAAACTTATTATTAAAGTCATATTTCATTATATTTCTTTTAATTTTGTAACTAGAAAACTTAAAGAGATGCAGATATATATGACTTGAGGGGGACTGGAGCAAGATCCTGGTGAGAGCAAAACCCTGGTGGTGAGATCCTGGAAATAGTGGTGTAGAGACTCTGGCATTGCTGTGGAGAAGTGTGGTAACATGTAACCAGAGAAGCCCTGAGATAAAGGCGACAGTTAGAGGTTTTCCTGTACTTGCTGGATGATTGAATGAAAAACTGGCTTATAACTGCTCTGAGATAAAGTTTGCTAGAGTAACTGAGGAAACCAGAGGCTGATTTGTGCTGCTGAACTCAACCTAGACTTTCACCTGTTGGCTAAGAAGCTTTTTGAATTAATTAAGGCATTGTGTCTTGCTGTTAATCTGAATTTCTGCACTATTATCTGGACCTGCACTGGGTGATATTCTTTGCCTTCCCCACTACCAAACTTATTTCCTTAATATACCCAACTCTCAGTACCACTTCTGTGAGTAAAGTCTGTGAGTTACCAACAAATGTCAAATCCAATGATTGGTGGGAATGGGTACAGGAGCATGGGAAGTGGCATGTCCAACCTAGCAGCTGTCTGTTCGCTGCTATGGCCTAGTGGCAAGATGCTGCACTGCAATCCCAGAGGTATGCAGTTCAAATCCACCAGATGCTCTGCTGGAGAAGGAGAGGCAATCTCCTCCTGTACCAGTCAGATCTGATTTGACGGTACACATAAAAATAATACGATAAAAATAAAAAAAAAATTTCTCTGTTTGCTGCTATGGTTATTGATGGGGACAGTTCCCCTTTGTGAAGCAGGCAGAAGTCAGACTCAGGCACCACCCTCATGTTTCATCTCTTCCTTTTTCAGTTAGGGGTGTGTGTACATACTTATACACACACAGAGTTTATAGTACGGCTGGATATCACTACTCTAGAAGATTGTCAGTATTACTGATAATAACTAGGAAATTACAGAGGTAATTAACTAAACTAATAGATCATCTATTGTTCATACAGTTGCTATGAATCACAGTCAAATGGAGAGCATCTTATAACAATATTGATTAAGGAATATTCAAGCGATAGAATGGAATATTTCATTTTCCAGTCATAATCTATTATTAATAATAAACAGTTACATTTCCCTGAAAGTCATGGAGCATTTCCCCTGTTCATTAAACTCTACCAACTGTATGTCAGGCATGCCGACTAGTGCATTTTATTGGTTAAAAGTCATGCCAGGCATTTTCTAAATCATGGTTCCAGCGTCTCTCAAACTCCTCTTTGGATCATGCGTGTACCTCTTCGGAGCATGTGTTCTCCTTGGAGCAGCTGGACGATGGCCGTCTGAGTGGCAGGGACAATGATTATGCTCCCATCCTCACGACCACAGACCAGTCGACCGTGAGCTGGGATGTACACACTGGCGGTCACTTTCAGAGGCTCGTTACTGTTGGGAATCACACTTAGCTGATCTATAATTCCAGCAGAACAGGGATTCAGTTTATCAAATGCCTCTTGCAAACTAATAGAAGTTGTCATCCGCAGTCCTGTAGAGGTTTTATTACACAGAAAAGGAAACATTGGGACACGTTAAAAAAAAAGAATATTAAAATAAATATGATTCTACTTGATTTGATAATATTTTAAAAATAAACACCATCAAATTATCATTTTGTATCAAATATCATTCAAAGGAAATTACATGTGTGCATCATGAATTTGTTAATCAAGTGTTAACATTTAAGGTGTCAAATTAAAATAAGAAATTGCTGCATGGTTTACCTTCTTCACCTTCCTGTTTCTCAAGCATGTCTGATATGTTCCAAATATTCAATCTTCCAGAAGAATCCCCCTGAATTAACAGTTTGTGGAAGTTCTCGCTGCAGCCACAGAAGAACCGAGTAACAGGAGGGCAGATCAGCATCTGGCAAAACAAACTCCAGTTTCAATATCTTTAACGATATTTAATCGCATTTCCTCACACATTACCAACATTTTTTCAAATAAAGACAGAAATACTTTATTGCAATCTTAGAAAAGAAATGTAAGAGTGCAACACGAGCATTCAACAATATATTAATGTTACACTATTGCATTAACAAATCCATCAACTAATATTCAAGTCCAATATAACACAAGTAGCCAAAGATATGAAAACTCTATTATTTGTTTTTATCCTGTTATTATGAATTCTTTTTCCCCCCTTCTGTCTAAACCCATAAGCGGGTAAATAAACCCACTGCTGTCCATTCTGTCCCATCTCACAGCAACCCTCCCTGGGTTGCCAAAGCTGTAAATCTTTACAGGACAAGACTGCCTATGCCGTGGCTGATGGATCAGAACTGCTTGGTGGCCTTTAAATTAGCAGTCACATATGTTACACACTTTGCCACTAGGGCGCTTACTTGTTCATATAGCAGGTCAAAGTCAAGGTCATTGTTGTCAAGTAGGAATGAACAATCTGACCCACCAACTAGTCCCCAAAGCTGTAAACTGCACACAACATTTCTCATCGTTCTCACAAGGAGCTGTGGGTGGATTCCAACCACCAGAGAGCCATGGGTTTGGGGTCAGCAGCCCGACTCCACAAAGAGTACAGTATCCATCCATGATTAACCACATTATCATCATGTTATCCCACTATTTCATCAGTCATGGACAAGAGCAGCAAATTACACTACCTACCATGCATTTGGAGTTAGAGAAATGCCATTTTTAAAATGAGTATGTTTTTAACCTAATATCATGATCACATTTATTTCCTCAACTTGCTTCGATCTCAATGTTACCTATAAACTACTAAGATTAAATACCTTTGTTTACAGTCCTGTGTATACTTTCACTGTGAATATGAATTTTTTTATCTTAGGATACTGACCTTAGCTCTCTTATTTGAAAATGTGCAATAACGGTGGATTCATGAAACAAAAATTGAAGTTGTCAATTCACAGATACCTAAATAGTTAAGCATTGAATCTCATCCTGAAACAGTGCAAAAAAATTGGCTGCAGAGCGAGTAAGTAATTATAGTAAATAACCTAATTACTATATTTTGCATTAGATGCTTTCTAGAAAGTATGAGTGAAAGAAATTATATACATACCTCCACACATATATTAGGTATAACAAATTATTTTACTTAAATTCACAAAATTAAGGATTTTAATTAATAAAACCATGTTCTTAGCAAACAGGAGTGGCTGTAACAATCAATATATTTTAACACATGAATAATTCCCATCACATAATGTTGTTGTTGTTATGTGCTGTCAAGTTGCTTGCGACTCATAGCGACCCTATGCACAACAGCCCTAAACCCTGCTCTATCCTGCGCCAACCGCACTGTCCCCGACACACCCATCGTGATTACCCCAGTCACTGAATCAATCCATCTCATAGAGGGTCTTCCCCTCCTGCGCCGTCCCTCCACTCTCCCAAGCATGATGTCGCTCTCCAAGGACCTGTCCCTCCTAGCAACATGTCCAAAGTATGTCAGACGAGGCCCCAGAATCCTTGCCTCCAAGGAGTAGCCTGGTTTAATCCTCTCCAAGATGAATCTGTTTGTTTTCCTGGCAGTCCAGGGTACATTCAGTACTCTTCTCCAGCACCACAGCTCAAAGGCATCAACTCCCCTTCTGTCCTCCCTAGTCATTGTCCAACTCTCTGATGCATAACAAGCGATTGCAAAGACCATGGCCTGTATCAGGCGAACCTTAGTCTCCAGAGAGACACCGTTGCTCCTGAGTACTTTAGAGAGGTCCCTAACAGCAGACTTTCCCATCGCAATATGCTTTTTGATTTCCTGACTGCTGTTGCCAAGAGTGTTGACTGTGGAGCCGAGCAAACTGAAGCTGTGAGCAATCTCAATCACTTTGCCATCCATCCTGACGCTGCCAATTGGTCCAGTGGTGAGAATCTTTGTCTTCTTGACATTGAGCCTCAGTCTATACTGAAGGCTGCAGTCCTTGACGCTCTGCAGCAAGTGCATGAGGTCTTCCTCAGTTTCAGCAAGCACATAATACCACTATTTAAACTTAACATGTTACTGGGGTGCTAAGAAAAAGAGTGTGTTTATTACACAAATCATTATATCTTAGTTTAACAGGAAGGAACTGACTAGGCTAAAGGGCAATATTTAGGAGTTTAAATTAAGAGTAATAGATTACTGAGGATATCAATTGTACATGTTGTTGTTGTTGTAGTTTTTGTTAGATGTCATCAAATCAATTATGATCATAGGACCCTATGAACAACAGATCTGAACTTGTCCTACAAATACATTAGATCTGAATTTTCAAAATACTCATGGGTAAAAATAATCCCTTCCCTATCCCTTGCCTTGATGTGAAAAGGAGATACAATTTTTCAGAATGATCATGATGAGAAATTAATTGTTTCTTCCATCATTTGCATCGTCTTCTGTAGCTGTTCAAATAACTCCACGTCAACATACTTCTTCTGGTTCTCTGTGTCTAGGGTATTCAATAGCTATGCTTTTTTAAAGAAGGGTTGTTTTGTTTTTTCGTAATGTTTGAGGTTTCCTGCTGTTTTCTTGACATTATGTAAATCTTTTCTTGGTATATGTTAGGCTGTTATAACTGTGTAATGTCCCAGGGGAGAGTGATGTTCTATGAAGGATCTGTGTATTTGTACTTTAAAGGGAGTTGAGTGTTGTGGGTGCACTCGTGTTCCCCTTGGTTCAAGAAATCCCAAGTCTTCTCTACCTGTTGCAGTCGGGAGGGCTAAAGCAAGGAAGTAACAATGAAAAACTCAGAGTGTCTCATTATTACACTTCTAAAATGAAAACTTCTTACTTCCTGTTCACAGAATATAGAGTTGAAAATCAAACACCAAATGCAGTTGATTTTTTCAATTTCTCTTTTTATAGAGAAAAAAGCCAGTTTTCTCTTAATTTAGCTTCTTCTTGTTGTTATGTGTCATCAAGTCACCTGTGACTCATAGCGACCCTATGTACAACAGCCCTAAACCCTGCTCTGTCCTGTGCCAATCTCACTGTCTCTGACACACCCACCCCATTACCCCAGTCGCTGAATCAATCCACCTCATAGAGGGTCTTCCTCTCCTGTGCTGTCCCTCCACCCTCCCAAGCATGACATCCTTCTCCAAAGACTGGTACCTCCTAGTAATATGTCCAGAGTATGTCAGACGAAGCTTCAGAATCTTTGCCTCCAAGGAGCAGCCTGGTTCAAATGATTTAAATATCAAGCTCTGGTGGCCTACTGGTAAGGAGCTGCAGTGCCAACCCAAAGGAACATGGTTCAAATCCACTAGCTGCCATGCAGGGGAAAAAAGATGGGCAAAGTCCTCCCACACAAATGACAACCTCTGAAAATCTTCTAGAGGGTGAGCTGTAACTTGACAGTATACAGCAACAATCATTTCACTCTCCACATACTTTTTGGGATATATTGCCATGTATAATTCAAGTGATGAATTCTTTTCAACAAGCATTAACTCTTATTATGTTTATTCTTCTAAAATTGCATGTGTCATGATATTTATAATTGTATGACAGCATAAAATAAATTTATTCCATCATTAGGAATTTTATTAAAAGTCAGTTCTAATGTTCAATCACATAGGAGGATTATTAATAGTCTTAAAGAAAGGTAAATGTTCTGTTTTATACATATGTGAAATACATTTACAAGCTGTATTTCAAGGTGACTTAGGAAAGTTTTTGTTCTTTGTTTGTAAGGTCACTATGAAGTAGAGGCAAACTGATAGCACCTAACAAAATGTTAAAATAACTTACAACATCTTGACAAGTGCCTTGAATTGTACTGAATCTTTCAAATGCTTAGCTATCAATAAATAAATAAAGTCCAAACCCATTGCTTTCAAAGTCCAACTCATAGTGACCTAAAGTTCTAGATACTAAAAGAAGGCTGTCAACTTTCTCCTTCAGAGTGGCTAGTAGATTCAAACTGCCTTCTTTTAGGTAGAAGCCAGAACTTAACCTACTGCAATACCAAAGACACCAATAAATGTAGATGTAAAAATCTCCAATGCAATTATCAATTACAAATGATTCCTAAAGAATTTTACCTCTTTATCCGCTCGATCCAGGAGGCAGTGTTGTACAGGAGGAATTAAATTTTCAACAGCTTTCCCTACGTCACTTCGGAATGAATCACTAGCTGGAAGGCAACTAAAATTGGGGTAATGGGGGAACAGAGCATTCAATTATCATAATTTGTATTATTATGCCATTCTATGCAAAAAGATTTTATAGACAACGGACTAGAGTAGATTTTTAAGTTACAGTTACTTTAAAGCAGCCATTAAGTTGAATAATTGCTATAAAAATATTCTACTCTAAATAAAAGATCAACTAATTTCTGTAATTAGATGTTAAAATGGAATTACAAATCTAATGTAAAATGATCTCCCTAGACTAAATATTTAAATTAGAAGTATTTCCATAGTTTCAGGTCATCCAAATTCTGAGTGCCTTTTTACTTTTATTTGAACTATTATATATTGAATACCTGGCAGGTAGTTTGTAAATATAACTCTGTCCATTTTCAGTCCAAATGATGACTTTATCTGCCGACACAAAGTCGCCACCAGTCCACGCCTGTCCATTCTCACTCGGGCCTGAGCACAGCAGGGAATAGTCTCCAGCATCAAACACCTACAAGGAAGGAGAGACTCATAACCCAGTTCACGTCACTGTGATTCGAGTAACATACAGCCACACTCCAGCTTAAAAAAAAAATCAGAAATTCATAATCCAGTTCACGTCACTGTGATTCAAGTAAGATACAGTAACACTCAAACTGTAAAAAAAAAATCAGAAATTCATAATCCAGCTCATGTCACTGTGATTCAAGTAAGATACAGCAACACTCCAACTTTAAAAAAAAAATCCAAAATTCATAATCCAGTTCATGTCACTGTGATTCAAGTAAGATACAGCAACACTCCAACTTTAAAAAAAAATAAATCAGAAATTAAGTTGTTTTTAACAAGTTTAGTTTTTTGTTTTTTTTTTTTTTCCAATCAGAAGAAAACTTCAGAACTATCAAGCTGGACTCAGTTTAGATCATCCTAATTTTGTTGGTAGTATCCTGAGCATCAGAGTCGGGCAGAAGTGGAACATATAGGCCTTATTCTCTCCACCGGCCTAATCAACATGTTGACCTTGGCCACATCAATATCACTGAGCTTCTTTACAGCTTGTTTGATTTGGTGCTTTATTGGCCTTGACATCCAAAGAACACAAGTGTGTTGATCTGTCTTCTTCATGGCTGACTCAGTGGTCGGGGGAAACTTGATGATGGCAAGTTTATTTTTCCTGGGGGCACCCTTCCCGGGGTATCCTGGCTTCCTTTGGAGTCTCAGCTTCTTAGACCACCAGAAGGTGGGCGATGTGTGAATCTTCTTTTTTCTTTGTGGCTGTGGAAGCCCTTCAGGACTGGATTCTTGGCTTATATCACCTCTGGATTGGCTTCAGTTCTGGGAAGGGCATGGCGTCATCTTTGTAAAAAGCAACACGTTTAGCTCATTAGAGTTTACTCCTCATGTTGTCAGTGAATCACAGCAGAGTCCCCTTCAATGAGAAAAAGGCAAGCACCCCCCATGGCTGGAAGAGCCTCCTGGTGGGCAGGCTATAAAGAGGAGGCCAAGTGCTGGCCTCTCCGGGGACAGGAGTCTTTGGATGTTTTCATCGAGTTGAAGGTCACGTTGGCCTGAAGATGAGACTCCCATCCCAGTGGACACCTGGATGGCAGTGTGCAAGCCAGCCTGAGTCAGAGAGCCCAGGTGAGTCATGTCCACTTTTGTGACCTGTGGAAACTGGAGCTAATACACGTGCATTGCTTCACACTGTGAAGTTTGGCATAATTTCTTAGGGTATCATTAGATAACTAATTCACGCACCTGGAGACGTGGCTGTGAGGAGAATAGGGGATAACAGTAAACTCTAGGTGAAGTGCTAGGTTTAGAGCAAACATTCAAAGTCAATTGATTATCTTTCTATGATGGAAATATAGCTGTGTTAGCTGTGAAGTAATGGAGGAAGGCTTGACTCCAACTCCAAAAAAGGAGGAAAAAACAAATAGCAATTCAGGTATGTTCTCTGTTGTTAAATTCTGTCAAGTCAATTTTTACTTTATGGTAAACCCCATATGACTGAGGAGAGCAACTTCACCAGGTTTTATACGGGAGTAGGTCAGCTATTCATTTTGTGTGTGTGTGTACCACCAAATCACATCTGACTGGTACAGGAGATTGTCCCTTCTCCAGCAGAGCATCTGGTGGATTCAAACCACTCAACTCTGGGACTGTGTAGTACTGCTTCTTGCCACTAGGCCACCAGAGCTCTACAGGTCAGCTACTCTTTCTCACGTGGAGTAGCTACGTGGTTTTGAAGAAATAATCTCTCAGTTAGCACCCATATGCTCAAAACTACACCAGAGAGGCTCTTTTTGAAAATGATGCCCAACAAAGATGTGTTCAACCTGCACAAAAACCCACTACCATTAAAAGAAACAGGAAAGATCTGGTGTGAAAAACAATGTATACGAACTCTGCAAATAAACCAGCATAAAATGAAAATTTTATCTAAAAAAAATCCCCAACAAACCTCACTACCACTGCTTAAACTGTCTGGCATAATGATTAAGACACTAGCAAAAAGTAAAAAGTAAGAATAGCAGAACAATAGTACAAATTGAACAAAACACAAATGAAAAGATATCTACAAAAATCCAAATTAAAAAAAAAAAA